TCTGCTGCAAAACCCATCCATTCTCTTACAGGTTTCACTGCAAAACCTATCCATTCTCTCACATAATCTATTCCAACTTTATCTCCACTTCAGCTCAGGCCTGAAAAACCGTACGCTCCACGGTAAAGTTGCTCATCTCTCGTCAATACATTCACGATTGCGATAAAGTTTGATAGTTCAGTCACGTTCGTGTCGGGACGAGTATCTTCCTTCGCACTTACCTTTATGTCCGTGTTAGACATGCATATCAGGATGAAAATGTAGTAGTAGATGAATACTTTAAAAGTCGGTAGTAACTGATTAATCTAAATCGGCCGGAATTGCAGCTACCTCCCGTTTCTTGCCGTCCTTGCTCATGCCAACTCATTCTCGAGTTTTCTGTGGATCTAAGACAGTGCATTGGCAGGTTTGGTAATGACAAATCACGGAGAACCACCTGCTGTAAAGTTTTGCCAAAGTTCCCCTCGTCACAACTACCATCTGAGACGCCAACCCCATATAGACCTTCCCCTGAATCCAGGAAAGCAGTGTGGGAAGTTTAGTGACCGTAGCTATTACAGGAACTGAGTGCATAGTGAATAAACAAACATTCTTCTTTATACATAGATTCACACTCACCGACACCTTTATCCTCGGATGCATATCGAATTATTACATTCAGAGGATGGAATTATCAATCGAACGATAGAAGACGATCGAACGCACGAAATCACCGTTTTATTGATGTATATATGAATATATATACGATGACAAACACAAGCTTTTATAGATGCGATACAACAAAGAAGAAGCAGAAAGAGACCAAGCTATTCAGAATATGAACGAAACAAATACTGTTATCAACATCGAGTTTTGAAGAAATTAATTATTCAACGAGGAGAAATTACAAATTAAAATAAGATTATTGATGATATATCGAGCTGTAACATACGCTAGTTATGATTCGAAGTAAAAATTAATATCGTAGAGCACTTGTCTCAGGACATTCAGTAGCTTCCATCTCTAATGAATCTACAGGTTGGATAACGTTTCTTCGTGTCTTTCGATATTTATATACTTTATCTATGATTCGAATTATTGTAGGGCAAATCCATTTTAAAATGATCGTCAAACCACCTTGTAGACTAAGTAGAAGTGTTATTGTATGGAATACATTGAAATTTTCGGTAAATGTATATGAACACAATAAAGGTAAGCATTGTTTGAAATAAAGTGAATAGTTCGTCGTTGTTGCCCATTCTTCAATGAATAGATTATGAACAAGTTCAGTAATTGAAGTATTAACAGCGAATCGACTAGTTATTGAAGAAAGATGAGTGACATTGCTCGTATAGTTAGTATATTCTTCAATTAGATCAATACATGATTGATTATAGAAACATTCAAGAGTGGAAACGAGCAATGATTCACTTGGTGTACAGCCTATTTTCAAACCTTCGATTGAAATAGTTTCAAAAGAATTTGTTTTGATAAATCTCGCTTGACTTGTACAATTTGAATATAGCCCACAGGAACATTCATCGTCATAAAATACGGCTTCAGTAAGTGCATATATAAAGACGTGTCTTTCCCAGGGATTAATATATTTGAAATTCGTTCCATAGGTGGATATAAACGCATTTCCATCATTAACACTGCGAATTAAAGAGAAAATACGAGCGAATACTGAAGGAGTATTCAATCTACTTTCGTTGATTAACAAATTTAAACGTTCATGGAAATTTTTTTCCGATAAAAGTTCAGCAGTAATGAATAAAGAAGATAAAAATTGTTTTATAGAATTGTTCACTGATTCAATGGAAAGTTGACATAATCCTTGAAGAAATTGTAAATGAGCAGAAAGAAAACGACGATAATCGTTTTGTGCATATGTAGAGAGATCAGGAACCAAACCAGCTGTAAGATTAATTCGCCATTGATCCGAAACAAATGGACTCAAACAGATCTAGAATTAATGAAAATGAAATAGAAAAAGAAAGAAAATTCTTTTCTTACTTCATGAAATACTGCTTCAATATTAACAAATGAATTAAATGTTGATGCAATTATTGAACAAGAACATGAAAGTTTATTTGCATGGTCATGTTTGAGTTGATTGTAAAGTTCGAAAGATGGTCTATTAAATGTGTTTGTCAAAGTTGGAACTTGAACGATATTATATACGGCAAGAAGAGCAACACTAGATATGAGCGTTATGATGTAGAGACGAGTAGCCCATTGACCGAGACGTTTAGCTGTCATTTGGTCAACATCACTACCAAAATCTCGTATAGAAAATATGTTTAGATTAATCATGGTTTTGTACAATAGAATGGCCGCATTTCGTATGATTGTCTTCAGTCGATCACACAAGTTCCGATAAACTATATATAGAAAGATAAATGTAATTTTCTGTTGCATCAATAAATAAATGTAATGCTTAGATGATTATAGTAGTGTTAAGTAAGAAAGTTGAATTCAAGTTTCAAGTATTACATATACGAAATCTCAATGAACAAACAAGTTAGTATTTCCGTTTTCTATGAGATAGGAATGGTTCGTACTTTTGTAGAACCAAATCGCGTTCATTTATCTTATATATTCAAACTGTTTTCAATTGACGAGAAATTTTATGATGTAGATGTAAAAATCAAGTTTTATCAATGAAGTTTTTAGGAAGATATGATCTAATCAAAAACTAAAATATAACAATAAGAATACGACTACTGCTAAACTGATTAAAAAAAAAATTTTCATTCTCATCTTTGATTATCAATCAGTAAGTATTATCACAGAGTGCGAGAAAATTATACATTACCACGTCGTTGCTCTTCTTGTCGATTTTTATGTCTTTTGATAATTATAGATAATAATTTAAAAATAATTTTGACGAGAAGAGGTGTAATTAATTTTAATGCAACTGTAAGACCAGCAATCACAGATATCATTTTTATTGTCAGGGTTAAAATAGTTTCTTTACGAATATTTTGAGAATAAGTACAATATTTCGGTGCACATAGTTTATAAAAATTTTCGTATGTAGAAATTGGATTCCATTGTTCAATCATCAACTTTTTAAGTATCATTCCAACTGAAGTGTTTGGAGTATATTGGCTCGATGCCGAATTATGAACGAGAGGATGAACATCAGCCCATAATGAAGTATTTGTATTGGTTAAATATGCTTCTTTTACGTAATTCATTAGAATTGAAAAACAGTCAACATCTGTGTATAAACATTCGAGTGTTGAGCGTAAAAGAGAATCAATAGCATAACAGCTGGCGATCGAGCCTGGCACAACGTAAGCGAGATAATATTCATTTGACGTTCCTTTCTTTTGAATAATGACGCTCGGTGTTTGACAATCAGGATTAGTCCCACAAATACAAGTGATCGAATTAAAATACATATTGCGAATTTCAGTCAAATGTAATGTCAGCTGATAAGAAAAAAAGATATATATATATATATATATATATATATATATATATATGTTTTTATTTAGTTAATCGAGGGTGAGTGAGAGAGTGCGGATGTATATGGGTGTGGCTGTGTACATAACAAAAACAATACCCATATCCTCACCCATACCTTCAAGATCTTGTATCGACTCATTCTTTTTCATAATTGACGCATTTTGTTTAGAGCAATCTCTTGTTTTTTTCACAATTCAAGAAAGTATAAGGAATATTATTTTCAAAGATGTAGGAAGTTAGAGATATGTTTTCTTTCAAAATATGAAAAAGTAGAAGACAACTGCTTTCAAAAATCGGAGTAAGCTATGTAACGAAGTTTGTCGAAAATGGAAAATATGCTTCTTCTCTCCTCTGATAAGCTTGTCCTGGCCATGAACGAACTGTTACTTATAAATTCGAAAATATCTCGTATAATATCACTAGTACTGAGAATGAGAAATACTCTTATATTTTCGAGAAAGACTTACATGCGATGAATACTTATTGGTAGTTACATTTAGTGTTACATTTACACGTATATTCGGATTCACGATATATTTTACATCTTTGATAAGTGCGGCAGAAGGTTGATCGACTTGAAGAAGGAGACGCTCTGTTTCTACAAGAACACTAAAATAGCTGGTTGTCGACTGGAGTAGTTGAGTGAATGTATGATTGAAATATGCATTGAAATTATCCTCACTGAGTAAATTTGATACTGCAAAGGATTGATAGATAAACCGATGAATAGCACTTTCGATTGTTCTATTAGCCAATTGACAAAGATTCGACAATAATTGAAATTGTGAACTACCGTGATGACGCCAATCTGCTACCTAATGGAAAATTTCATAATTATATATCTCGACTAGGATTCAAGATGTAGACAAGTGAGTAGAGTTTGAAAATGTAGATACAAAATACTTTAGTCATCGTGTTCCGCAACCTATAAATATATTTTTGATACAGACATGTACAATGTTATTAGCCCTACTACTATCGGACTGGATCGTATTAGGTCCTTACTCAAAATTCAGAATTGTGGTGTTTTGAAGTCGCTAGCATCTCTTATGAATTGATCTATTTACTTTGTCTACCATGACAAGTCTCTGATATGATATCATGATCTTACTAGCCAATAAATATAAAACAAGAAGAAGAAGCAAGTAAGACATCTTCAATCCATAATTAGATGAATCATCTACCATCCCAACTAGGTTGCTAAACATCACCTCAAATACATGTTTTTTTAATTTTTGTTGCATACTGAATACTTGTAATGATATAGAAAATAAATGAATACCTTTTTAAATTCAACAACATAGATCAATTCATCAGAAATACTTATAATGGCTTCAAAACACCACGAAATAATAAAATGTTTCTAATAGATTTTCAAATTTTTGAGCATGAGTCAAAAATGACTTACGCCAGTAATACTAGAGTTATGAGAAAAGAATAATCATATGATAAATTATATTGCCAATACGTAGAAATAGGTTATATAGGATTGTTTAAAAAAACATAATCTTCTTCCAAGAATATTTATCGATGATGTCAATTTCTAGTAACAATTCAACGAATTCAGAGCTATCATTAAATAAATTTCACTAATTGATTCTGATCATATAAATTTCAGTTGAAATCTAATAACAACTCTTAAAACATAAATTTTCAAGATCTGTTCACATCTTTATATGAAATCTTTCTTTAGAGATTTTTACTTACAAAATTGATATTTAAAAAATTTTTAGAAAATACGCTATTTTTTAATACAGAAATCCAACGATCTGAAACAAAATCACTTGAACACACTTGATGTAAAGATGGAGATAATGAGATAAATGTATGATAAGGTATTAAAGTTGTAGAACAGGGACATATTAGTGTATTCGAATTTAATCTTTCCAAATTGTTGTAGTCGATAAGCGATGGATTCCATACTTTTACTGTATCTAATTTAGTACTTAGCCAAGTAATAAGAAGAAAAGTAAAAAATGAACCTAATAATAAAGAGAGATAAATAAATATATTAATATTTTGAGGATGTGTATAGATGTCAACTTGGAAGAATTAAACTATGTTATGTACTATCTACACTCTTCCAAACTGGATTTGATGTATGCTCGTGCATCAATAGTCACACTCTCACTTATATCTGCGTTTACGAGCAATTATACTTTATAAATAATATATAAATAAATCATCATTTCTAGCTTGCAGTTACTTTTTTTTGCTATTAGCAACATTTGAGATATATGAAATAAAAGTAACCATACCGAGTAATAGGATTATATAGACACGCGTGAAAATCTTCTGTTGTTTGATATTGTTTTCTGTTCGTTCTTCAACTTTCTTAAACATGTTTAGTCGTTTAATCAACTGAACGAATTTACGTATGTTTGCATTTTGTCGTACTAAAAATAATTTAGGATAAGATATTTCTTGTTATATTTATAATACAAAGAAATCAATACTTGTAATTCTTAGATCTTGTTTCAGTTTCCAAGAAATTTTGATCAAAAATGGTGTAATCAAACGAAGTATGATAATCAGACCACTATAGAGACTGATAAAAAGATTGATCGTATAGGACAAATTGCTTTGATCTATCTTTATATATGTACAGAATGAGGGAGTACAATCACTGAAATACTTTGAATAATTTATTTGTGTTGACTGTTCTTCAATGAAAAGATTAATAAAATGATCATGTACAGAAACATGTTGCTGTTTTGATATGAGAACAGATCCACTCCAGTTGACGTTCATCTAGACAAAAGAAATATATAAAAAAATCATTGAATTATACTATACACACTTCATTCAGAGATGGAATATAACGGATCAATAACTCAATGCATTTAATATCATAGAAACAATCGAGTGTGTTTTGTAAAATACCTTCAAAAGGTGTACATCCAGCAAAGAATCCTTTAACAGGAGTGAGACCTGGTACAGCTGGCTCGCAGGTTATATCTTGCATAGGTGCACCATCATCTGACGCTGGAAGGAATCCACCTTGAATAATTGGATTTCCAATACCGCACGTTTCTCTTTTTATATTTCCAATATCATTACTATCACGTTGACAATATGTTATTTGGGCTCCAAATATATCAACCTTGAATTTAACACCAGAAACCAAAACCATTGTATTTGTATTAAGACTTGATATTAAAGTGTTTCCTTGATTGGTTGCTCTGAGATAGTTTAAGAGGGAAATAATTTGATTAATTGAAGTGTTGTGAAAGAATTCAACAGTAGCGTTCACTACTGATTCAACTTGCGTTTCAGGCAAAAGAGAAATAGTGATAAACTCATTATTTTTCAGTTCATTTTGATTTTGTAAAACTGTCATTTGAGAGAGTAAACAGAGACTAGAAAGAAGTTTGAACTAAATAGAAAGAAGCAAAGTCATAATAAGCATTATTCTAAATAAAATAGAAGGTATATTATTTTCATAAATAAAAATTTGTTCTTTTTTATGTCGCCTCAATGGCTTCATACCTTAATGATTTTTTGGAGTCTTATGAGCTAAATTAATATTTCAACAAAACTAACAATGATTAAAAACAATCAAGACTTTATCAACGAAGATAATCGTTTCGAAAAGCTTTTCAACGTTATCGCTTCAAAATAAAAAATGTAAAACTCAAATATTCTACATACATAAAGTATATCTTAAACAAATCATATTTATGGACTTTTTAATTCAGTTCGTCTTCCCCTCGTCTCACCCAGTTGTTTGCGAGAATGTAATTATTCACCACTAAAGCATCTCACTCGATTGTCAAAAGCAGATTCAAAGATTTAGCGTAAGCCAATATCAGAATGAATTTTTGACTACGATTTTCATGTCAATCTACTCATTAACGACTTCTTTTCTACTTTCTCGCCATGCAACCTTACACTTGAGGAATTGTTGTCTCCTCTTTCATCACTAAGGGCAGCTATATTTTTACGACTATTGCTCTGCTCCTCTCGTAACCACAAGAATTTATGTATTAATACTAGTTCCTCACTACTAAGTTTCTATTAAATATGAGATCAGTGAGACGTGAGAGGTCTGAAATCCTCAAGTTTTTATTTTTATTCAGAATTTTATGTTCAAAACATATATGGGCTTTACAAAAGATTATTTGAACTTAGCATATTTGAACAGTTTAAGAAAAAAAGCCACAGTTCATATGATTTGCTTCTATCTTTTGCAGTATGCGGAGTTGAAACTAGCGAAGTTATAACTTTCAATTTAATTAGCTTTTCAACATTTTTGAGTAAATTTAGTTGAATGAAAGCTATAATCACTTTGCTTTAATGACATGTTTCATCAGAATGAATATATCGTAATATGTATGAAACTCAAGATCAATGTGGATATTATAATCAGCACATTGTTATGCTCAATTGTGTATCCATACCTTCGTACATACCATACAAAATACATTTCTCTTTTGTGAATTTGTTAATTTATACACTCAAGTCAAGCTTAGTTTAAATAAAGAACAAGGTTTCTTAAAAAAAGATTGTCTTACCTGAGAACTAGCCGTTGTTCGAAAATCAAATGAAACATATTTAGTTGCATTTGATAGGTACAGTGCTTCAATCCATCGTTGGCTAACGAAAATACTCGAACAAACAGGATGAAATGTAAATTCTTGCGAAACGAAATTCTTATAGGGCACCATAGTTGTTGAACATGGACATAAAAGAGTTTCATTATATTTCCGATAAAGTTGATCAAAGATAAAAGGAGTAATAGGTGAAATAGTTATCATTCGAGCTTGTGGATTTCTCAAACCAACATACAAAAGAACATAGAGGGACACTAAAATGATACAAAGAACATTTCGAATTCTTGAAATCCATTAAGTCGTTTCTAGGGATGTACTGAGCCCGAACCTCTCGGGCTCGGCCAGGGCTTGGGATCATAAGCGGCGCAGCTTCAGTTTTTTAGGGGACGCAATAAACTTTTAGATAAGATTGCATAGTGTACACCCCTCCACGTACTGATGGATTTTCCACACGGGTGGCGCAATTTCAAATTTTCAGGGGATGCAATTGCTGGCCCGTTGCTTGCTGGTGCGCCGTCCATGCTTGGGATCGGTTAGGCTTGGCTTGGTCAGGGCTCGCGGTCGGTTAGGCTCGGTCTCTGTTAGACTCGAGGTCGGCCAGGCTCGGTCTCTGTTAGGCTCGTGGTTGGCCAGGCTCGGTCTCTGTTAGGCTCGAGGTCGGCCAGGCTCGGGTTCTGTTAGGCTCGGACTCTGTTAGGCTCGGGGTCAGCCAGGCTCGGGCTCTGTTAGGATCGGGTGTCAGAATGGGTGTGGGTGTGGGTGTAGGTGTGGAAGTGGATAGGTGTGGGTGAGAGTGAAAAGGATAGTACCCGCACATAACACACTCATACTCTTATTCTCACCCACACCCACACCCATCCTCAAACCCGAGCCTTGGCCGAGCCTCTCGGGCTCGGTATATCTCTAGTCGCTTCTCTTTGGATTGCAACTTAGAAAATCTCATTTAGAATTCTTTTAAAATTAATCTTTTTTTTCGTATACATTTAATTGATGATATATTATTAAGCGTAACTTGAGGATGTAGATATGAGTAATATATCAATCTCTTACTCACATTCGCATTTACCCTTAAATATATGACAATCAAGACTCATTCAGACATATGAAACAATAAAAGAGTATAGATGGATATTATTTTCATCATTTCTCTCTTATTCTCTTAATAAGTATTTTCATCATTTTACTTTCAGTTTCCGAATGATGTGGAATAACTATACCGATCTCTATGTGTCGAACAGGCCTTTACTATTCTAACCTAAATAAAATCACACATATATACACATAGACTAGCTTTTCAGTTCTCTCATGTCGCCGGTCACTCTGCGAAAGAAGAAATATTTGATAGAACTAGTCTTCATATCTGTTTAATCACTACGTTTTATCAATAAACTGACGTCTAAAAATAAAAAAACTATGTTTTACTTGCCTATGAATAGAATACTATATAGCCATGTTGTTTGCTTTTGTTGTTTAAGTATTATTGGTGGGTCTTCTGGCTCATCATCATTATCATCATATTCGTTTTCTTCTAACATAAAAAGATTGTAGTTGCATAGTCGCTGGTATAGCCAACGAAATAAATCATTGAAATGCATCATGCAAGAAATGATTGAGGTTACTACGCAGATCTTTTGTTTGATGAATGCACTTGTAATTGAAATATCTTATTCTAGAAAAGAAATCATTGTTTTAAACATGTTAGCAACACTCGATGATAAGATTAACCCATAAATATTCAAATGATAACGATTTAAACTTACCTTTCTCTCTATCCTTTTCTTTTCTCTCGTTTTCTTCTTTACTTCTCTCTCTTCTTCCTCCTTCTTTACTTCTGTCTTTTTCCTTGACGAAAGAAAGATAAAATAAGAAGAAGAGAGGAAAAATGAAAGAGAATTTTCTCCTTTTCTTTCTCTCCTTCCCTCTGATACGTCTGGCACTCCAGTTTACAAGTGATCTTTTAAGTGTTATAATATTCAAATGCGTGCACTATATATTTATAGATATTCCTCGGAATAACATATATATACATATGTAGAATTTAGTATAACGCCGCCACTTCTCGTGCTCTCTTTGAACAGCCTTCTAAAAAGTCTTTTTATTTTGAACGTTTGAAATCAAATGGTCATTCCAATAAACTCAAGCTTAATAAAAAAAACTTGATAAAATATCATCCAATACTAAAAGCTATCAGCAAAAAAGACTTGTACTTGAGGGTAAGGATGTGAGTGAGTCTAAAATAATATCTATACAGTCAAGATGAAATTCGTTTCATCCTAGGTCGTTTAAAAAATAATACAATTCACTGTGAAGTAGCAATTGAACCTAATAAATAAAATCGAGTTCTAATATCAAGAATTATTATGACACCATCCAATTCATTTTTTGTCCTTGAAGTTCAGTCATGAACAACTATATATTAATTTTTAAAGAGTTTGTTCTCTAATGTCTGTCAAAGTAAAAGTCATGAAAGAAGGAAAAAAAGTAATAAAAGGCATAATAAAACTAAAAATATTTTTTGTAAAGAAATTTTACAAAAATATTTTGTTCACAAATAAAACGAAAACTGAGCAAAAAATGAGTTTGTAGAACAAAGTTAAGTATCTTAAAAGCATCCCTGATAGTATTTAATTGTAAAACACTCAAATTCATTGTGCTTCATTGATACTGCTGCTACAGAAACACTTTAGAGGCGGCTCACTATTGACGTCAAACATTATTGTGCCTACTCAATCATTTTCCTTTTTTAATTTCAAATCTCATAAAAGCATGCTTTTCCCATTACTTATTAGTCTCAGAGCAGTATGATTGATCCACTTGCTTATTGTAGAGTAAAATCACGCAAAAAAATCATTTCTTATCATTCAAAACGATTTGTTTTCGACAGGAGCGAAATTTTTAGCATGGAATATCAAATATTCAGTCCAAACCATCTTGAGAGTGTGGGTGCCCAGATCCACCAATTCCATACTCGGATCCGATCGGATCCTATGCCGGATTCTATCGGAGTTCAACGAACCGAAAAAATCCTATAGGATTCCGCGGTGTTTGGATTCTATCGGCTTTCATAGTTTCTAACAGACGAATCTAGACAGATCCGATAGGTGACCATACGGCCGTAATACAATATAGCTAAAAACACCACCCATCAAATTTGCAGCAAATGACTGGACATTTTCCGACGGAGTGCAATGCAAATTCGTCAACAGGAATTCTATTGGATTCTGTCGGGTGATCGGATGCAACGCTGGAACGGTTGACCTGGGTGCGCATGTTAATTAAAAGTAGAGACACCCACACTCACACCCTCACCCACACCCTCAAGAAAGAATCCAAAGATATTCATAATATTTTATGAGAATTCATTAGAATCCTTTGTAGTCCACAGGAATTCAAAATGACTGGATTGTACCCTTTCCGCTTAACAAAATAACAAGAACGAATACAAAAAAAGCTTACTTCATTATCGAGTTATCGATCAAGACAAGCATGTGAAATTCCGATAGTACTTGCTTTTATGTATTGTATCATTTTACAATATTTTTCTCAACAACACTGACAGGAAATTTTTTCTATGAAACAATCGCATATATACATGTGTGCAGCTTCGTTGATCTGAAGCACAAATTAAAATGCATACAAAGTAAAATTGTTTTGTTCCAATATAAAACTGAGACTTCGTGCGTGTAGGTGTTCTTTTTCATTCGCTACGACAGCATATGCATTGTCGGAATAGGGAACTGCAAAATCAGTTTTTTTGGTCCCGGTCCCGGTCCCGGTAAAATCTTTTTAGTCCCGGTCCTGGTCCCGGTCAATTTTTTCAGTTGGTCCCCGTCCCGGTCCCGCTGGTCCCGGTCTTGATAAAAGCTTAAAAATAATTCTGGTGTTGTCTTCATCTATGCAAAAAAAAATATGAAGTTCACGAAAATTCTCGCTTTTTCAATTGTAAATTCAATCTATACGGTTTTTCTTGAACTATAGGATAACACATTTGTCAATTCTTAATTAAAAAAACAAAAAAAAAATAGAAAATGTCTGGTCTCATACTTGCTAAAAACATTGAGGAATTAGCTGACAATTTTAGTCTTGGTCCCGGTCCCGGTAACTTAGGGAAATTTGGTCCCAGTCCCGGTCCCAGTCCCGCGGGACCGGGACCACTTTGCAGTTCCCTAATATAAAAGCCATTTCACGGGCAAGAGTTTATTCTATTTTTTCGTTAATCGACTTGCAAATCGAATATCTAGAATACAATATCTTACTGAATCTTTTGTTTTCAGTATTTGTTTGCGAATTAATACAATATCATTGATAAAAAGGAAAAACTATTTCAAAATAATCACTAATTAAAGGATGTGAATGTGAGTGAGGGTGTGGACGGATCGATGTGTATATGATGGACGCAATACTCATATTCACACCCACTCTCAAGATAATACACTAGTGTACTATGAAATCGTAACAATAAAAAATTCTCATATACATGCATGCACTGTCTTCGTTATATTCTATCAAAATAATAATTAAAATTCTGATTAAAAAGATTTTCAAGTGTTTTCTCTTTTCATTAGCTTTCATTCCTATTGAATTGCTATTGTTCATTTGGTTGCTGTTGCAAAATAGTTTAAAAGCATAAAAATTTGTTGGATGTGAGTGTGGATTCTGTATTCTTAGCTCGCCCATTCCCACACCCGCCCACACTCTCACAATAGATCTGCTTGACCTATTCATAGTAAGATTCAAATGAAAAATCATCAGCGATCACAGCAATAAGGAGAAGTAGAACAATAAACTTCTACAACAATAGAAAAATTACGCTCGCATTACAAAAGCAAAGAGGGATAGCAGCTCACCTTCATATTTATGTTTTTGACGGTTCTTTATTAGTGTTCGAGTTACAAGACAATGATATTTGAAGCACGGTAAATATGCGCTGATAACGGACTATTTCTTATCAATATATCAGTGGCGTATTCAGAGAACGAGCCATTTGGAAACTGCCAAGTGCTCTAAAGGGTAGTGCGGGTGTGGATTGTCTTTGTATTTCACATACACATGAGCTCGCTGGCACCTACACCCACAGGTGGTCACTGCATCATCCTGTTACGTTATAATTTAGTAATATCTCCTCGTCCATTTCATCATTATTGGGTCGTTCGACTTTTTCTATAGATGATGTTCGATCATTATTGAAAATGATCACATCAAATGATACTAAATCGTTGGATGCTTCCACTATTGTTAACTTGAAACCTATCACATCTACGATTATTTATACAAGTGTAACTTTGGTATTATTTATCATACTTTCCTTATTATTCTATATCATTTCATGTAGCAATTGTTCGAAGAAAAAATTAAATAAAAAAAGAACGTGTTCTGGAAAGTGTGTATGTACAGTATTGATATTATTAATTGGTTTGATTGTTATTGGTCAAACAATTTATATTGTATATCAAATCAGCAGAACAACAAACTATCTCGATGATTCAATTAAAGAAACAAATCAAGAAATTTATCCAAAAGAAATTTCTCTATACTTAGAACATCTTCTTCGACAAATGAAGCTACTCGATCAATATATGACTCAGAGTAAACATTTTTATTATTATATATATGATTTGTAATGAAAAAATATCTTTTTTTTATTTTTAGCTGATTCTATCGTAATCGAAGCTTCGAGATCGATGCTTGTTAAATCATTTAATGAAATTTTTTCAAAACAATACTCTCTGGATATAATCCGACAGTCGGTGGATGAAAGTGATGTACATATTAAAGAATTGAATGAACTCATTAATCAAGAAATAAATTTATTACCGGGAACGATTGATCTATTTGCAGAAATACAAAATCAACATCGAGAAATGATTGAATATTTAGAAATACCATTACAAGAATTATGTGATTATGCTGATGGTAGTGAAATAGAAATTGATAAGACAATTTTACATGCATTACATCTTATTCATGAACAATTAGAAAAAATAATCGAAAAAATCGAAAATGATTTTCTTACTTATTTGAATCCATGGCAAAATGCAATGTTAATGAGTAAGAGTCTAGAAGAACAAATTCGATGGTATGTTCGTCTGGTGAGAACAATTACCATCGTTTTGGTTCTTACTTTTGGTCTTAGTCCAATCATTTTTTTTGTTATCGTCATCGTATGTTGTCGAAATCGTTGTCATCGAAAACATCCATTACCAAAGCATCGGTTAGTCAAGATTTATCTATTCATTTCTAATTAAAGTATTTTTAGCACGAATAATGAAAAAGAAAACAGTCGAACTACAGAAGTACTGGTGAACGTATCGTTGTCGAAAGATTCTTCCAATTCTGTTCGCTGTTGGATGCAAATAGTTTTCTTTCCATTGATGATCATATTGATTGTAATAATTCTTCTTACGAGTATTTTATATACTGTAGATATTTTTGCTCAAAGCGCTTGTCGAACAGTTCACGATGATCAATCATTTCTGATTTCATTTCTCATTGGTAAAAATACCTTTGTTAGTATCAATCATTTATCTTTATATATATATATTTTGAAATTAGATGAATTACTTGGACCAAATAAAAATGAATTAATTGTTGGTGGATTTGATGTAGAAGCAATATTCACAACGATTATAAATGATTGTGGAAATCAAATACATTTTAGTGAACATTTTTTTAGTAATCAGCTAAATCCTTTACAAACTGATGTTAATCAAGCAATGAATGAGTTAAATAAGAAAATCGATGATAAATTCAATGCTTCGATTACCGCTATTAATATTACATCAGATCTTGAACGTCTCGACCAGTTCTCTATGATAATTAACTCAACCAAAATTCAAAATAAAATACAAGAAATACGCAATGATTGGCAAGCAATAGAAATAGAATTCAAAAAGATCTCAAGTTCTATTCCAATAGTACCAGAAAGTATTATTAATCAAACGATCAATGACGTTAGTATTGAAAAAAAAGATTGAATGAATACATTATTTGTTTTCTTTTAGTTCGAAACGTATGTGAAAATAATTCTGAGAACGACAACCGATACTTGTCCTCTACCACTAGCTATACTATACAAGGCAGACACATTTATATGCCATCAATTTGCTACATCTATTAATGGTCTCTGGCTCAGTCTTTTCATCTACCTATTTTTCGTTATAGTTGGCCTCTGTATATTTGGTCTTTGTATTTACAAACGATTATAATTGTTCCTTTTTTTCATTTTTAACTAACTAATTATTTTTGTTTGCATATCAAAAAACTAGAATGTGATCACAAGATTACACGTTGATTAATGAATTATGATTTACGTCTAATTAAAGGTAAATCTTCACCATGAAAATATTTTATACGATGTTTTGGTGATTGATCTGGACAATTAGTTTGTTTACGACATGGAATAAGATAATCAGGTAGATTTGTATGACGATAAGTTGCACGATGAATAGGATCATGTTTTTCTAAACAATTTTTATCTTGCGCACATTTAAGTGCATTATGACGTTCATGTGTAAGATACGGTTCCTTGGCTTTTCTTATACATAATTCAGAGTAACCACAAGGATGAGAATATTGTTTCTTATGCTTTGATGAGTGTTGTTGTAAACAATATATAGAATCTTTACAAGGTTTCAATGTAGGAAGAGCATTATCCGATAGTGGTGCTGGCTCAATTGCATTCGAATGACGACACAAAAATATGTTTGTTACACTATCTAACACACTCGGGCCATTCAATTGTGATGGTCGAATAACTTGCATCGGTCGCCCTGTTCCATTATTATTGAGAGCATTCAGATCGACATATGAAGGCGCAACAAGATACTTTTCAAGCAGATTAGATGTATCTTTTTTGAAATTCATGTCGACTGATGGATGTAATTCGGGTATTGATTCAAAATTAATTGTTAGATTTCGTACAGGAACATCTTGAGATCCAGCACTAAGATGAATAAATTCTAATTTCGATAGATCGAATTTAGATGTATTAAATTGACATTCAATCTTTTCATGATTATAAATACTATTTGGTCCAGCATGGGAAAGTGTTACTTGACCTGTCATATGACTGATTTTTAGACAAAAAGTGAAGTAATCATCAGTATTACAACCTCGATAGAATGCATTTGATTTAGCTTTAAATCGATTTGTAGTGACATTATTACCATGTTGAAATGGTAGACCATCATTCAAATACGAAAATGCTTCACGGTATTCTTCAGTCACTGTTGATGGTTTTTCTGCAATATAACAAACAACACATCGAAGATCGAATTGTTGTTCGCCTGGAATAAGTTTTTCATTGGCCACTGTTAACATCATATCCCCATCCATTGCTTGCCAATAAATATAAGTGAACTCAAGGCCACGTTGTGATTGAGGCTTGCCAAGATTATATAAAAAATACGCTTGAGAAATAGTAGTTGGTAATACGACATGTTCTTCAAATTCGGAAGCAGCAACTGTAATGACTATACCATGCGAGATATTTGGCTTGTTCATTCGATCTCTGATAGCTTCACAAAGTTGTTCAAATACATATTTCGGATATGGAAGCTCGAGAATCTGTTGTAATCCAGCGCCTTTTTTGATCTCATCACTTTCATAGATGCTAATCATAAGCGAATCTTTAAAAGCTCCTTTAGCTGATTGTTGAGCTTCAGGTGAAAGGGATTCAAAGACATTTTTTGATATGTAAACACGATCAATATAATCTAATGGAATTAGTTGTGGCAAATGTGCTTCGAATGTCTCATGAGAATCCACACTTGTCCATCGCTTAAGAATAGCTTCAATATTGACATTCATTGATTCGCGATCTGCACCTGTTAGAGCGACTAATTCTGAAGCCGCTGCATATTCATAACCATGAATAGAGCAATGCAGTTTTGAGCTATGAAAATGTTCTGTTCGTTTACCATCAGTTCCTGGATCTTTCGTCCATGGCCTATGTGAATAAGTGTATTTGCTATGAAATTTAGTTCCAGCTTGAATAGAAAAGTTGGCATCCGGATGAAACATAATTTCTTGCTTAAAAGTGATAACAATATCACCATAATAATGACCAAGATGCGGTCCGAGTATAGAAAATACATGTTGATCTGTTCCTAGAATTTGATCTACATCGTATTGGATTCCAGTGGGATTAGCATTTAATTTAATCGATGCTTGAGCAATTTTAACTGACCATTCATGAATAACCTGGATATCTCTTGGATTAAGAGGTGGCTGTAGTTTTTGCTCGATCCGCTGAATTTTATAGCCATAGTCTGAATCTAATGAAGTTTTTCCATCTGATTTTGCTTTTATAAATTCAGCTTCGACCAATATTTCAATCAGTTTACATACATTGTCTTTGACATTTGGCGTATTATGATGAAGGAATATTAGACGTACTCGACTATGTTGTTGAACAGCTCTGACCACATGTTCTGGTTTTGTTAATAAATCCATAAAACGACGACTCATAACATGTCCTAGTACAAGAATTGATTCAAAAATATCTTTTCGACATCGATGTACAGGTTGTAATGCTCGTATCCAATTACGTACTTCTGGAGAAATCGATGTTTTTTCCCAGTTCATTCTTTCTACGTAGTTATTCACCGTTTTAATTAGTTGACCTTGATTACGAGCGAAATTGATAGATGTATTAAGATTACTAGATGGAGCTACACTAAAATGATCATGGTTTTTGTTATGTCGATATATTTTGAAATGATTTTCATTAAGTCTGTCCCGACATTTGAAACCTGGTATTTTGCATAAGAAACGAATATCTCGAATATCATGATGAGTATAGGATTCTAAATGATCCTCTTGAGTAAGTTTTGAACATTTATTACCATCAGGACATAGTCGACGAGCAATATGAATAGATATTTCCAAATGATTTTCTTCTTTAGTTTTGCAATCACGACCGTATGGACAAATATGTGAATATTCAAGACAATGCTCTTCTATTTCGGTCGATACTATTGAATTTTTCGATTGAACAAATTCGATATACTTTGAACAGTTGTATGGTGTTAATGGACATGGCGGACGAAATGAATGTATTGTAGTATCAAAATGTGCTTTATTATGAATATTAGCACAACAATTATCATAAGGACAAACAGATTTGCAATGACGAAAAGATTTTAAATGTTCGTGATTTCGTTTTCGATATTTTGAGCATTTAGAACCATCTGAACAGTTAGGCAGATGGCGATAAGCTACTAAATGTTTTTGACTAATATTTGTACAACCACCGCCTTGTACACAAAATTCTGGATGATCAGAATCTAACAGATGTATTGGATCAATATCGTTACATTCACCACCGAATTTGCATTTAATATTATGTATAAAATTAAATGTATGAACATCATCATCCAACCGTTCACAAGAAGAAGTTGCATTTAAGAGTGGACACATGGGTGGATGTGAAAACTGAGCCGCATGTTCAGGCTTTCGATAATCACGACACTTACTACTATGCTGGCATGGTGGTAGATCTAAAATGCAAACATCACCTAGTGTTAACTGACCATCAGATGATTTATCAAGCACGCGATTTGGTCCGATAGCTGCATTGATACGTAAAATTGTGGGTGATGGTACCATTAAACCATCGAGTAATTCTTGAAATGGAAGGAAATTTCCTTGTGGATTAATTTTATTGCCTGTATTATGATCATCAACAATCGCAAAATAAATCGTATTAAAAAATCCTGCATATTGTACAATAACAGATTTAAAAATAGCAGCAATATGACCAGGTGGATTTTTAAAAGCACCACAACCAAGAGCCGATAAAACGAGACAATCATGTTTATGATGACGTGCAATTGCAAAGATGTTTTCAATCTTTTTTCTTGTTTGAACAGCAAATTTATTTTCTAATATTCTATTATTTTTTAATTTAGGATCTTTATAAGCAGCCATGGCAATAGCACAAACATTGTACAGTGGAGTTTTCATGTATGCATAGCCATTAGATTCTGTTTGTCGAAACACTGTAATACCCTTTGTGTAAATCGCTCCAAAATCATCCATCGGATATAAACTATCGTTTTTTGATATTTGCTTCTGTTCACATTTATCATTGCAATGCATTCGTTCTGATCGATCCTTATCGGCTATTTCTACATCGAGACTTTGATAATAATTTGATCGACGAAAAAGATTTTCTTCCTGTGCTCCATCACCTTTTCGATAACCACCTCCAGGATTAGCTTGATTGGCCATATTTAATAATAAAGGTCGACGTCCTTCTGAAACTAATTTCTGATATAGAGTAAGACAATCTTCGTTAACTACTTTGACAGATGTCGATGCATATGGTGTTTTGATATTAGTAACTGAAGTTTTCGTGCCATATGATAGTTTTGATTTATGATCATAGACGGTGGTGTGTAAAAGGTTACGTTTTAATATAACTTCTTCATGATTGACCATATAACGTTGTTTTCTTAGAATGCCTATTGTATTCAACATGACTGTCACTCGTAACAAATGTCGATGAAGATCATAACCTTTCGAACGTTGTTCTGTTAAATCTAGTTTTTGAAATTGTTCGATCCAATTCTGAGCATTCCATTGATAATGAAAGATTGGATGTTGATAATTATGAAATAGTGTCATAATATCTGGTTCGATCTTGAGCATATCTGTCTCATACCAATTTTCAGCACGAATATCCATAGTTTCTGGATCAATAACAATACTATATGGCTTAATTTCCATCACTGTATTACCTATGTTCACCACTCCTCTGTCTAAACAATTCTTATAACTCTCCTCATTATTGAGTTCCACGATAAGCTGATCGCTTACATGCTTCTGAGCAAGAACTCGATTGGTAAATAAGCTATGCTTAATAATATGATCGATACTAAAATCACGAGGTACATTAGAGACAAGAACTTGATAGGGAAGTTTTGTTTTCTTTGGCACACTTTGTCCATCAATTGTCAAGAAGTTTACTGATGTCCATGTTGTGGCAGATTTTGTTACTAAAACAACGGCGTTACCAGTATTTTGATTACACTGTACGTATAATGATGTTGTTGGAAGTTCTTTACCACCAATTTGAGCGACGACAGCAGATAAAAGTTTAGTATCATTGGTAAACAATGGTAAATCACTAAAAAAATTGCAATCTACACATACATAAACGTTGGCAATGGATTTTTCGATCTGAAACTGTGGTGAATTAGCTACTTTGGCTAGTTCATCGAGTGAATTTAAAGTAATACGAAAAATGTTAGGAAACTGATCAGAAATTGGCTCACACACGGGATTTGCTGATATTTTGAATGCTTGTTTAAAACGAGAGATAATTTGTTCCGAAGAAGGTATCTTCGATAAATTTCGATCGATTACTATATAAGAGTCAAGTTGGAGTTCATTTACGAACGATACATTTATGCGATGTTGTCGATCGAGAATCGTTGACTGAACACTATCAACAAGATATATTTTGTCGTCTTTATTCATCAATTGCATCACAGCTATACCAAGTTTTGAGTAGCATTTCACATTGCTTATTTTCATTCGACCAATGCTCTCGGCACGATTCTGAAGCATTTGTTCGACATCCTTCTCGGGAATATTCGATGGTATATCGATTACGTATACTAAAGTGTCGTCATCGTTGGAAGCCATATGACTTAAGTGTTACTTGCGTCAAAATAAAATTAATCTAAAACAACAGTTTTCTAATAGAGTGAGTGTGGGTCCCGAGTTGAATATAAGTAGTTATCAAACACAGATCTACATCTACACCCATATCCAAGGATTAAAAAGCGAATCCTGAATCGTACGTGATCCTAACAGGTTTTCTATATCCTCATAGGTCCTAGGATCCAGGATCTTCATTTTCCCCCTTGTCCACATGTTTTAGGTAGGCAACTCAGAATATTCAGGGCGTGTGTCCTTCCTGTTCTTCTTTATGGTAGTGAAACATGGTCTATTACTGCAACATATGAACGTAGAATCAACACCTTTTATATGAAATGCATTCGGACTATGATTGGTGTCAATTTAGGTGACAGAATCTCCAATGAAAAACTGTTGGAAATTACCGGTCAACCGCCGATTGATAATATATTACGCAGGAATAGATTAAGGTGGTTTGGCCATGCCAACAGAATGCTAAACAACAATGGAGAACCTTCGATAGTCAAGAAGATCATGTTTTCGTACTTCCCAAATGAAAAACGACCTCGAAATATCGGCATTAGGAAAAGATGGGAGGATAAAGTTATAAATGATATTGAAATATGTCAAATTAAAAATTGGAGAAAAGAAACGATGAACAGAGATCTTTGGCGAAAAATTATCAATAGACATACCACAGTTACACCGGTAAATTCCAATATTAAAGAGATCATATTTAGGTATAAACAAGGTGCAGTTAAAAGAAGAAATGAACAGGTGGCGGCTAATCATGGAGTGATCAAGCAAAAGGTGTTAGAAGTGCTAATTAGGAGTACTAACAATAAACACAAGTGCCCTGGTTGCGGAAAAATGTACAAGCCTCAAGGAATAACAAACCATGTGAAAGCATGCACCAATGCTAAAAGTTGGTGTGTGTTGAATAATATTAAATAATGTTATTAAACAACTTAACACGTTTGGTTCACAACTGCTGAGGCTTGAATCTTGGTAATGAATGATGGGTGTTGTTTAAACTGGTTACCAGAGGGCGACACTCGGAGATAGATCGTGGTTCAAGTATTAGTGGTGATCAATCAGAACATCAGTCAAAATTACATGAACATTAACTACTATTAACTTTTTCTGTTTTTGTTGTGTGTATTGTATTTGTTCTCACCCGACACCGGAAACGGTAATGGGTCTAACTAACTAACTAACTAGGTAGGCAACTAAATTCAATCATCTTATTGAAATCCTCTATGAAAAATGAAAAAAGTGAATTTAGAAATTTCCAAGTGTTATTAGCCATCTTGAGAGTGTGGGTGAAAGAGAACATATAAATACCCACACGTGTATCTACACTCGCACCCTCAAACGTCTCCACGTTAATCAACTTCACTTGACGATGTCGGCCATCGACAACGAGTAATATCTCCATCAACATCGGCCTCAGGCATACGAACAGCTATTGATTGACTACGAAGAATGTTAATAGGAGACATGATATAAGCGATAGGAGCATTGTTGTAGAGACTATTGTCGGATCTTGTTGTTAGTTTAATACGTCATGAAACAGATCCAAGTGCATTACTACTTGATGATAAAAGCCGCCAGGCACCGTCCTGCTAGGCAACGGAAAAATCGATACCTGCATGTACAAAGACAGTGTTAGAACGTTGTCCAACAGTGATTCCAAGTGGAAATGAGGTATCTGTGCATCGAGATCTAATGTTAGGAGCCACATAACTAGTTGCACCACTAGCACAATCAGCGATACAATCGAGTGGCTCCGTCGGAAGTGATGGATATGGACCAGTAGGGATCAACTGACTACCACTAATATGAACATTAGCACATGTTATCAGGGAATATGTCCACGAATAAGTTTGTGTGAAAGTGATAGCAATAGGTGTTCCTGTGGCAGGTTCGATCAAGAGACGCCATGTAATTATTTCACCGAGAAAATGATTCTGATGGACAATCCATATAAAACAGTACAGCAAGGAGTCATAGGAAGTGACCCAACATTGGCGTCAGCCAAACTGGAGTCCATTAGTCTATAGTTTACCTATCTTTTATATATGGGTAATTTCAAGAATAGAGACAGATACCGAGCTTGAAGCTGACCTTGATTCTTTAAATGTTCTTTTTCTGAACTGACTCTCTCGGTCGTCACTTAGTTAATATTAATTGATTAACTAATTAAATAGAAACTAATTAGAAATACTTTTCAAGTAAATGATAGAGAGGATTTAGAATTTTTAGGTGGACTTCGTCATTCTAGGCAGTAATGAATTAGTATTAATAAACAACTTCTGAATGCTCTTTTTAGTTTTCCGGATATATTTAGGGATGATTTTCGAGACTTTTCGGAGGCTATACGTATACGGAGGTTTTCGCTATACTTCTCTCGACATATCTGTAAATAATTTTTATAACTTTTTGAGGCCTGTTTATGGTTGAAGCTTACATTTAGTAGTCTTTGGTTTTAGTCTCGACTAAATCGGATAGTATAAGAGAGTTTTCTTGAATACTATGCAACTTTTTGCATACTTTCATCTGTGTTTTATCCGTTGCAGAAAAATTGATCATAGCTGATAGATTTAGTGTGGTAAAATCCTACTACATTTTCCATTAAGCTAGTTCTTGATTTTACTAAATAAATATCTTGTCGGAGACGTTTCAAAAAATAAGTCTTTAGTTGATGACAGACATAATCCAGATTCAATGAGTGAGAAAAATAACGCGTGCGAGAGAAAGGTGAAAGAATACTTTGCATATAATATAGTGGCTAAGAACGTCTATATGCCACTCAATGATTTACTGATTTAACTGTTCGAGTATTTCACTTTTCACATATGTAACGAGGTATTCGAGTATTCATCTGTTCAACTTTTTTGTTACCGTTCTACTCAACGGAGACTCTAAGTGTCCAAGTGTTGGATTATCTCACTTTTCGACTTTTCTATTGATCACATTTTCAAAGTTTTGGTGTGATTATTAGCATTTGAAACTAATATCATGGTCTGAAAAGTTTTAGTTATGGTTATTTATTATGATTATGAAATTAATTTTTTCGCCGTTACGAGATGTAGTCAAGAAGTTATTGTTTTCACACTAATTCTTGTACTAAATCCTAAACTTCGCAAGGTACTTAATGTAATGAAGTAGATTATTTCCTTTATACTGACGCTAAGGTATATGAAGATGAGACTGTTTTGTTCACCCTTAGTATCATGACTATTTGAAAACTCTACTGAATCGATAAGTATTCGAATTCATGTTCGATCTTTATATCTATCCACCGAAAGACAAAAAGGTAACACAACACTTACTACTTACTATTGGGTTATAAAATAGTTTCCTTTGCTTCGTACGACAGTAATAATAGTTTTTCTGAAAAAGAAAATGTAACAATGAGAGCAAAAAATCTTCCTTCTGATATTGAGAATATAAGAACGATGGTAGACAACTTTTTTCCGGGAAAGAGTCTGAGAATGAGAATAATTAAATTTTTTTCTGAAAAAAATATAACAACGAGAGTAAAAAATATTCCTTGCAATATTAAGAATATAAGAACGATGATAGACTAGTTTTTTCCGAGAAAAAGTCTGTGAGGATGAAAAGAAATAAATTTTTTTCCTGGAAGGATAATACAGAAATGAGTGCAAAAAGATCCTTCCAACAAGAAGAATATAATTATGATGATGGGCAAGTTTTTTCTGGGAAAAAGGTGTAACAACATAAATAAAAAACAATTTTTTCAGGAAGTACAATGTAAGAATAAGAATAAGTTGTGTTCGTAGAAAATGCCTGCATGTTTTATCTACTCTCTGCAACCAAAAAACACAAGAAATCCTTGCAGGATCTCTCTCAAATTCTCAAAGATATAGTACGGAGACACCAACAGGGTGTTATAAGGAAATACGACTCGTTTTTTAAATTGATTAGACTCTTCACGTCATACACATTTTGACATTGTCATTAAAAGCTGGATAGAAAACAGTTCAATTTGAAGCACAATTTCTTTGATTCATCGTGTTACGATAGGTAGGATGTTAATTCAGATTATTTCAACTTAAAAGAAGTTAAAGATTCGAAATTCATTGGTTCATTTTCCTATGTCACATGAGCCAGTTTTTTTTCGCGTATATGTTCGCTCTTTCTTATGAATCTACCATATTCAGGTAGATCTTGAAAAACTACACACGCTACGTTCAGATAGAGTTTGAAAAATTACAAGTAGTACGTCCATGTAGACCTTGAAATATTATCATGTTGAAGAAATGAGGACAAAAGGCAGATCTTGAGGGTGTGGGTGAGTGTGAGTGTGGGCGGGGTGTGGGTGGGTGAGTGTGGGTGTGGGTGGATGTGAGTTTGGGTGTGGGTGTGGGTGTGGGTGTGGGTGTGGGTGTGGGTGTGGGTGTGGGTGTAGGTGTTTATCATCTTAGAATAAACTGATACCCACACTCACAAAGAGTCACACGCACCCACACCCTCAAGTATTACCCGCCTTCCTCCTTTCAATGTGGATTTTTAGATCTAAAAAGTTATGAAACCAGAAAGAATTCAAAGATATCCATAATGTTTTATGAGAATCCTTCGGAGTCCACAGGAATTCAAAATGACTGGATTCTACCCTTTCCGCTTAACAAAATAACAGGAACGAATACAAAAAAAGTTTACTTTATTATCGAGTTATCGATCAAAACAAGCATGTGAAATTTCGGTAGTACTTACTTTTATGTATTGTATCATTTTACAATATTTTTCTCAACAACACTGACACGAAATTTTTTTTATGAAACAATCGCATATATATATATGTGCAGCTTCGTTGATCTGAAGCACAAATCAAAATGCATACAAAGTAAAATTGTTTTTTTCCAATATAAAACAGAGACTTTGTGCGTGTAGGTGTTCTTTTTCATTCGTTACGACAGCATATGCATTGTCGAAATATAAAAGGCATTTCACGAACAAGAGTTTATTCTATTTTTTCGTTAATCGACTTGCAAATCGAATATCTAGAATACAATATCTTACTGAATCTTTTGTTTTCAGTATTTGTTTGCGAATTAATACAATGTCATTGATAAAAAGAAAAAACTATTTCAAAATAATCACTAATTAAAGGATGTGAATGTGAGTGAGGGTGTGGACGGGTTGATGTGTATATGATGGACACAATACTCATATTCACACCCACTCTCAAGATAATACACTATAGTGTATTACGAAATCGTAATAATAGAAAATTTTCATATACATGCATGCACTGTCTTCGTTATATTCTACCAAAATAAGAATTGAAACTCTGCTGAAAAACACTGAAGTGTTTTGTTTTTTCGTTAGCTTTCATTCCTGTCGAATTGCTATTGTTTATTTGGTCGCTGTTATAAAATAGTTTTTCTTTGATCACCCAGAGAATAAAAGCATAAAAATTTGATGCATATGGGTGTCTATTAAAGAAATAGGGATTCATTTACACCCATACACACTATTCTGAGGCTGTGGACGTGAGTAGGCATGTATCAAACTCTAAACAAAAACTCAAACTGTTTGAAAGTTTGAGTGTAGCTTATGGTGACGTTCGATAAAAAGACTAAAGAAAAAATCTTGAGAATGTGAGTATTCTATCTATTACACACCCACATCTCAAGTACAAGAGTGAAGGTAGAAGATAACAAGAGAAAAGATTTTTTCCTTTTTAAATTGAGAATAGTTTCCAACATAGACTTTTAGATAAGACACTTAGTATATATTAACACTCATGTATACTGGTCTTCAATGCGTTGGATATTATAATTTTATTCTAGATAAGGATCGTTATCAAGCATTAATATTTTTGTTACATATACTACAAATAATCTATTCAGATATATTAACACTGAAAATAAGAAGTAAGTTTTTGTTCGAAGGTAGACCATAATCCATATTCCATCCATTTGAGTTTGGCAAGTTTGATCTAATGAGTTTCGTTTGCACTCAGCATTAAAACTGATTGAATAGTTTATTTTTAATCGCGTTCGGTATCTAATTACCGTATTGTTTTCCTATACTCGCTCTTCGATTATGATGAATACAAATAGAAATATCCTTCAATGCTATTAGGTTCGATTGAAAGGAGATACTATCTATAATTGTTTAGGAACTATCCAGCGATGTCGTAATATCAATATACTGGTTACCTGTCACAGCACTCGCCGTGATATCTATTGAGTCACATCTGTGTGGTCGGGATTCTTGAGTCATATACATATGAGTATATAAGCGCTTTGCTTTTTCTCCTGCTTGGAATAAAGTCTTCACAATACCCATTGCGATTAGTCCGAATGGCTAAGTGTATCTATCTTGAGGATGTGAATATGAGTTGTTGTTGAATGAGAAGAATACCCACACCCACTCAAAATTATTGTTTTCACGTCTCTATGTCAGTGCTGGACTTGATTTACCGTTATTTTCTAAAGATATTTTATCCGTAGTTTAGTTTTAAAAAAAACTTTTCAGTCTCATGCTCAATCATCTTATTCTTTCTAGCCATTAACAGTCGTGTGTAATGATGTTGGTCAGCAACTATAGTTTTTCGACTTCCACCATCTATTTTTGAACTAATGAAAATTTAATCGCTATGTTAAATTTATTCATCACATGTGACTTTTTTAAAAATAGCTGATTTTCGTCTTTTCGTATACTTAGAAATGATGTCATTCGATTTTAAACGCAGCTGATTATAAAGATAAATCGCAAGAGAAAAACATTGCGATAATTTTTTTTTCATACACGTGTAGAACGAAAGAAAATGAATACCATATGAGTCAACTATTTACTATTTATTCTTAACCGACAGAATCATTTATTTCTTTTTAGTTTGAAGTGACATCAGAAGTCGGAAGAAAAAAACGATGGCTGATCAAGATACGAAAAAATTATTCGAACGTTTATCAAAAACAGTGATACCAACACATTATGATTTAACTATTCAACCATTTATTGATACATTTAAATTTAATGGAGAAGTAATTATTCATATACAGGTTAAAGAACCAACTGATAGTATAATATTATATGCAGCTGAATTACAAATTGATAATGCAAAAATAATATCAAATTCAAAAGGTAATGTTATAATGATATTACAATTGAAAAATATTATTTTCCAGATGAATTAAATGGTACAATTGAAATTGATGAAGAAAATGAACGTTTAAAAATTACTTTCAATAAAAAACTTGAAGTAAATTATATTTAATTATATAAATGAAATTATTATTTTTTTTTTTAGAAAAACGATTATCAATTATCAATGAAATTTATTGGTGATATTAATAATCGTATGGTAGGTTTCTATCGAAATCAATATACGACATCTGATGGAAATATTCGTTATGGAGCTAGTACACAATTTGAAGTAATTAAAGTTTTTTGAAATAAAACGTTCGTTTATCTTATATTTAAAACTTACAGCCAGCCGATTGTCGACGTGCATTTCCATGTTGGGATGAACCGAATTTTAAAGCAACATTTGATATTACATTAATTACACCGAAAAACCTTCAAGCAATTTCAAATATGGTTAGTATAATTTAATTAATTTATACAAACATCATAAGAAAAAGATTTTTTTTCTTCTAGCCAATTAAATCCGAAAGTGAATCTGTTGATAATAAAGAATGGAAAGTAACAAAATTTGATCGTACACCAATTATGAGTACATATCTTGTTGCTTATGTTATTGGTGAATATGATTATGTTGAAACAAAAGATTCAAATGGTATTAGTATGCGAGTTTATACACAAGTTGGTAAAAAAGAACATGGTACTTTTGCTTTGGATTTGGCTTCAAAAGTTTTACCTTTCTATGCTGAATATTTCAAAATTAAATATCCAATTGCTAAAGCTGATCAAATTGCTATACCAGATTTTGCTTCGAGGTTAGAAATAATTTCAAAATTTAATAGAAAAATGATGTTATTTTTTTTATTTTTAGAGCTATGGAAAATTGGGGTGTAAGTGAATATTGAATTTGTAATTAATGATGATATTTTTTGTTATATTATTTAGTTAATTACATATCGTGAAATAGCTCTTTTAATTGATCCAAAATCTTCATCTCTGACTGTACGACAACGTAATGCAATGACTATTTCACATGAACTAGCACATCAATGGTTTGGAAATTTAGTAACTATGGATTGGTGGACTGATTTATGTAAGAGAAATGACAAAAATACTTTTTTATTTCTATCAATTTTATTTTCAGGGCTTAATGAAGGATTTGCTAGATGGATTCAATATCTAGCTGTTGATAAATTTTATCCTGAATGGGATGTTTGGACACAATATGTTGCGGATGTATTTTCACAATTTCTTGTACTAGATGCTTTAAAATCATCACATCCTATTGAAGTACCTATTGGTAAATTTAGTAGAATCATATATATATTGTCACATGTCAAATCTTATATTTTTATAGGTCATCCATCTGAAATTGACGGAATTTTTGATACTATATCATATGCCAAAGGTTCTTCGGTAATTCGTATGCTACATGATTATATTGGTGATGATGCCTTTCGAAAAGGCCTTCATAATTATTTAAAAGACTATAGTTATAAAAATACAGTTACTCTTAATCTATGGTCACATTTAGCTAAAGCATCTGGTAAACCATTAATTGAAGTTATGTCATCATGGACATTGCAAATGGTAAAGAGATTTTGTTTCTATCGAGATTAAATAAAATTATTCAATCATCTAGGGTTATCCACTTGTAACTGTATCTGAAGAACAACAATCGAATAAAACTCGTATAATTAAATTAACACAACAACGTTTTATTGCTGATGGTAGTAATGATGATGAAAATCTTCAATGGACAATTCCTATAACTATTTCTACAAAGTCTAATCCAAAATCTATTGCAAAAGAAATTTTAATGGATAAACCTGAAATAACAATAACATTAGAAAATATTTCAGAAGATGATTGGATTAAATTAAATTATAATTCAATCGGTCTTTATCGCGTTAAATATGAACCAAAAACATTAGCACGTCTTAATGAACCAATTGCTAATAAAATACTTAGTCCACAAGATCGTCTTATGATACAAGATGATGTTGCTGCTTTATGTAATGCTGGTCATCAATCATTTGTTGATTATCTTAAATTATTATTATCTTATAAAGATGAAGATAATTTTACTGTTTGGAAATCAATTGCATCGACTATTGGTAATTTATCATCTTTACTTGAATATACTGATTATTTTGATCAATTCAAAAAATATCGTTTGAATCTTTGTTCATCTATACAAAATAGAATTGGTTGGGATGCAACAACTAATGAAAATCCACTTGTGGCTATGTTACGTCCAATCATTTTAACCCTTATGGGTAAATCAGGTGATCAGGCAATTATTGATGAAGCAAAAAACCGCTTTCAACAACATATTAATGGAAATTTAATTGATCCAAATATTCGTCCAGCTGTTTATGTTGTTGTTTCACATTATGGAGATGAAAATACTCAAGAAGAACTTCAAAAATTATATAAAGTAGCTGATATGAATGAAGAGAAAGTTCGTTTACTTACTGCAATGGGACAATCATTGAATCCGGCTAGTATTGAAAAGACTTTACAATTTGTATTTGAAGGCGTATGCTTAATTCATTTCATACTTAGAGTTATTCGTGTCTAATATATTTATAGGATAATGTTCGAATGCAAGATGCATATATAGGTTTTGCTGGTTGTGCATCATCTCGAGTTGGTCGAGATATAGTTTGGAAATTTTTACAAAAGAATTGGACAAAACTTGTGGAACGTTTTGGAGAAAGTAGTGTCTTTCTTATTTATTTTGTTGAAGTAAATATAAACCTTATTCATTTCTTTCATGAAGTTGATCATGCTCTGTTCTATTTAGTCTTGTTTATCGAATTTTGCTGATGAAAAACTACTATCTGAAATTGAATCATTTTTTCATTCAGCTAATACATCAACTGTAACACTTGCAGTAAAACAAGTTATTGAAACTATACAAATGCGATCGAACGTACTGAAACGAGATTCGAAAGCAATTGAAGAATATTTATCACAACAATAATTGAAATATTTCAAAGAAAAATGAACGATACTATCTTTTTATCAACTTTAATTTTGTTTAAAAAACATTATAATCTAGATAGATATGATCAATAAACGATAAAAATCATTCTTGTTTAGGCAGTATTTAGTTAAAAGTTATATAACATTGTAGATGTTCATAGCTAGAGTACGGCGGTTCCGGTCCGGTTTTCGGTTCCATTTTTATGGAACCGGCGCACCCTAATTAGTTGTTCAATCTCAAGCATGATTTAAAAATCAACTGTACTAGTGAATAAAAGTTAAATATTTACTTATTTTTAGTTTCATCTCGATGACGAACTATTTAATAGAAAGTCCTATTTGAAAATGATCACTACTAGTTAATAACTATTTTTAACTGCATGAATAATACTAGGTTAGTTTATCATCCAAACTCATTTCCTTCGAGTAGACGATGGCAGATTGAAAAATATTGAATACATTGAATGTAAATGGTATTTTGTTTTAAAGAAAGCAAAATTTTCTAGAATTCTTATGATGTAATTCAAATAATGAATGTCACAAATGAATCGACGTCTGTAACGTGAAAATATGAGAACAATAATCAAAAACGAAGTTTAAAAATGTTTGCCATAGATAAAAAACAACCATTATAACGAACCAACCCTGAAAATACATATTTCAAATGTTTTAATAAACACGACATAAAATTTTGAATTTATGTGAAATTCGTTTATATTCGTATGCATTTTCTTCTAGTAATGAAAACAATACTATAGCTACTGTTAATATTTATCAAATCTTGAAAAGGTAAACACTTCTTTGTGATATTTATAATTTTGAATTCGATTTAATCCAAACGAATTCGATACTGAGAAATTTCAATTAGCTTTACTATTTACTACCGGTATAAGTCCTACACCCTCACCCACCCTTTGTCTGTTCTATTGTTTTGATTGCATTTAATATTATTAAAGACGTAAAATGATATTTTTTTTATTTAAATTGAGATCTTATTCTGAAATAATATAGTTAAGAATCAAAAAAATAGGTGTATTATAATCAATTTCAAGTTCAATCACGTTCGTAATTGTATGGATCGTTAATTGAGAAATTAAAGAAATGAACCGGCTTCTTTTGTAATGATACCTTCGATTCCAGTTTTAGCGGCACTTTCGATTTCACTAAGAAAGCCACCACCACTAGTATTTCCGCTGTTACTACCTGATTGCGCGAGACTTTCGACTTCACTAAGTAAGCCACTACCACTAGTATTTCCACTACCACCAGCTGATTGCGCGAGACTTTCGACTTCGCTGAGTAAACCACCAGCTCCAGATTGTTGTCCAGTAGCTTAATTTATTTTCGAAACAAAAAACATTAGCCAATCATGCTATATAAGCTAAAAATTAATCTTACCAGAGCCAGATGAGCCACTGCTGAGTGCTTTACTACCCAAACTTTCAATTTCTGATAGAAAACCTATTTGTGAAGAGCATATGTAGAAATTATATTGTTAATAACAGAGAGTTAACAATAAGAACTGAAATGTATTCTTTCTCATGAAACTTTTTATCTTGCGAAACTTTATGAAACTGATGTTGCCGTCAATATAATAAATTATTGGTCATATTTCAGATAGATTGCATATAAAGATCATTCTTAAAACATTTAACTGGTAATATTAGATCTAAACTTACTCATGTTTTAATGCTGTTGATCGAAGACGAAGTATGAAGAAAAATTTTAAAAGTGATGCAGTTTTGTTTCAATATTTCCTTTTTAAAGCAGCGGAAAATTGTTTTTTTTTAATAGTAATAACAAATTCTTTTTTCACGACGCCCGATTCCTATTTTTCTCTCTTTACATTCTTCGTAACCAACAACATCTGAAAGAATAAAAACAGAAAATTGGCGTTCAAACTATGCTTTTCTACAATGTTATTCGAGCATTGTCTCTCTGTCGTATTTTTCTTTTCTTTTATGTATTCGTCGTTATAAATGTTTGTTAAGTGAAGAGAGATGGGCGACAATAAAATGGTTGCTTTCCTTTATTTTTTCAACCTTTTTTTCATAAAAGTGCATTTATATATAGTTTTAACGGACAAAACAAAACGAGACAAATCAAGGTTGTTCGAGAATAACTATAGCAGACATAAGGTGATTTATAAATCATAAGAAAAGAAAGAAAACAAAATACAAAAACGAGAAAAATACGAGTATGGTGAATGTAAATGTAGAATAGGATGATATGAAAAATATCACAACAAAGAAACAGATCAACAGTAACACATGCAAAAATTTAAAAAGAAGTGAGACTCGTTTTAACGCGCTTAACAACTTATGAATAAAGTTCTTATTTTTCTCTCATATTTAGTTAATTTTGTTTCTATTACATTTTGCTTTTGAAATATTTGTTAGACTTGCGTTTTTTATATCAAATCTTCGATTGATATTTCGATGTATTATTTCTTTACGGTAGTAATGTCTACAGTGTTTCAAAGTACAAGTATAATTGTGAGTTTTTCTTCGGATAATTTATTGTGTTATGCATCTGTTGACTGTTGTTGAGATGAATCATTTTCTGGTGAATAAATACATGTTGATGATTTCATCGCGTTTTAAAAAAGTTTTAATGTTAATCATACCATAAAATTTGTTTAACCTCTTTCTTTAATGATTCAATAAATATTTTATCAGATTAATTATTAATAAATTTCGATATGAATAAAATAATTGAAAACATTTTTATTTTTAACTAAATCAAATAAATATTAGTATAACAGTAAAAAGTCTATTATATTCATTATCAATGTCTATACTACACAACAACATTCATTTTATTAGTATTCTTAAATTTAAGGACTTATTCATGTTTATCATAGTTCTTCATACAGAAAAATGAATCAAGATAAACATTGGTCAAAGAAAGATAATGAAAAATAAATGAAAGAATTCTTTGATCGTTTTCGATACCAAAATATAATAAATATATTCCATCATGGTGACTCTGTTAGATTATATATAAAAAATGAATCAAGAATTCACTCGATTACATAACGAACTTCATCTTAATATACAACATAGTACCGAGTTAAATAAAATTATTCAAAAGATAAGACATCTATTTTCTGTTAATAAAGAAATACATATAACATAATAAGATGGTTATGCCTATATCTGCGTGTAGATAGCCGTTACTTGTAGACATATGTGTACATAAACTCTTCTTTTTTCTCCTATTTTTTGTTGTCTCTTTGATATTAATTCATTATTCTATTTCAATCAGTTTTTTCTTAATATCAAATTTTTTTATAATAGTTGTAAAATACTCGATCGAATTATGCGAGAACTTTTCTATTGATACTCATATTAGAAACGAGGTAAAAAATCGATTTTAATGGACTTTTACTTATTAACTATTAAAATGTATACATGAACGATAAACTTTAACCATCTTAAGAGATTTGGGTCAGCATGTTAGTTGATCATGATACTCTCGTATCTATAATTACAGCTCATCACCAAGATGGCTTATCATTATCAAGGTAGTACCATCTATAATTTGTGACGCACACGCATTATATATAGTCTGTTGCCGAAAAGGTTTTCCCTTGTTAACTAATTGCTTGTTTCCAATAATATCTTATTATTTTAACACATCAATAGAAGTTTATATGAGATGAAAGAATTAACACTAATTGTGTGATGCCATTTTGATCTTTGCACTCGATAATGAATAATAACACATTTTTAATCGACCTCATTTGTCCTTAATTAATCTAGTAGAATAAGTTTTCATTCTTTTCATGTACAGGAAGGATGTAACAAAGCAATGTAGAAAAAAGTAGAAATACAGAGATCCTCTGACGTCAATGCAAGATATGAAAAAAAACGTTTCAATTTAGTGAGCACAATTTGAGAATAAAATCGTCCACATCACACAACGTGTATTTGAAAGAGTGCAATTGAATCGATGTCTGTATTAACTGAAGAAATGTTGGCTACCATACAAGCCATTCAGAATGCTCAGCTTGCTCTTGTTCGAATAACCACACCAATTTTGCTTATTTTTGGCAATATTGGCGAGATTCTAAACATTAGCATTTTTGTTCAACGTATCTTTCGAACTAATTCTTGTGCTATATATTTTCTTGCTGCTTCATGCACACAATTGTTCTTTATCAACTGCTTTATCCTTCTCAATGGTCTTTCTCTCGGTAAGTCTGAAAACATTTGATCTATTATATATAGTTATTATGATTATGTAGGCTATAATATCGATCCAGCGCAAATATCGCTAGTCTTTTGCAAAATCAAGTTCTATTTTACATACATTGCGGCTATTCTACCACCAAGTTTTATGGTTTTAGCTTGTATCGATCGATTATTGTTGAGCTCACGAAATGCAACAGCACGTTCATGGAGTCAACCACGCTTTGCCTATCGATCGATAGGTTGTGTATCTCTATTCTGGATACTCTTTTCCATTCATAGTTTATTTGGCTCCACTATTTTTTCAAGATTAGGCTATACACAGTGTTACATTCAGCCAGGTTCCTATACACTCTTTGTAGCTTTATATTCAATCATCATCAATTATCTTTTACCACCAACACTAATGGCTATCTTTGGTTTACTAACCATTGCTAATATTCGACAAACACAAAGACGGATTCATCCAATGACAAGAGCTGGATATTTACATCGAAAAGATCGACACCTCTTGCGCATGTTACTTTTTCAAGTACTAGTCAATATTATATGTGCGATACCAGGAGGAGGTTATCAGGTATGAGTTGCTTCAATTTTGCCATATTAGAAAGAAACATAACGATTTGTCATTTTAGTTGTATAATGTAGTATCAACCAATTGGCAAAAGAGTGCTGTTCAAAACACTTGGGAATTGTTTTTCTACGCATTGGCATTAACTCTGTTCTACATTCCGAACTGTATTGGCTTCTACATTTATACTCTAACAGCGAGTATATTTAGGCAGGAACTCAAGCGTATAATAATACAATGCTATCGTCATTTCTTTCCTCAGAAACAAACACGAACAGCAGCAGTGATGACCACTGGCATATAAACACAAAATGGAATTTATCTTATATATTATTTTATTCAAGCTGCTCTTTTTCTGTCAATATATTGTATCTTTTTGTTGTCTGTATGCTTCATCTAACTAAATATACTTATCTTAACGTATTCTATCTGAAAATGAAACATTCTATTGTCAAAAAAAAATATATATTTATTTTTCAAAACATTCTTCATGTGATTCTCTGTCAAACTGATTTGCTTGCTAAACGTCGAAAAAAAAGTCGAAATTGAAAAAAGTCGAAATTGAAAAAAGTCGAAAAGCAAAATGTCGAAAATACTTAGATGTCGTCATTGACCAGTATCGATGTTTGTTCTAATCATTTTTCTCGTATTTTCTTTTGGCTTCTTCTAAAATCGTTATGTCAACTAGTCAGAGTCTGAGTGTGGGTTAAGAGACGATTAACACCCACACTCAAACCCACACCCACACCCTGTCATATATGATTCGATGCATACTCATTCATCTTTTTTCCACATGATCATTAATGTTCCCGTTATATGCCACAAGTATTTATTATTTTCTTATTACTTATTACCAGTAACAAGTAATAGAAAATAAAAGTAACGTAGCATCTTTACTTCTTGTATAGATTTGAAAAAAACATTAAGAAGAATTCGTTTTCTTCTATTGCAGGTAAAAATATTCTACGCAACCTTATATATTGGATTTTTCTCTTTCCTCCGTTCTCTTGTTTTTCTTCCTTGTTTTTCTTTCACCCCTTTTATTAACCATTTTACCCACGTCATGAGTCATGACACATTATATATACTCGTAAAAAGTATCAAAATTTGTCATTTGTTGATTACTTTCACACTTTTATATCTTTAAATTTACCTTCAATAAATTCATTCTTTTTTTTTCTTTTATATATATGCAAGCATCTTAAAATAGATTAATCATTACTCATACTCGACTAATATATGCCGTCCATTATTGTGCCTCTGGTATTTGTATTTTTAACTAATTTTCTCATTCAACCATCGGTATGCGTTTTGCCTCCTGATTTACCAAATGTTGAGCTTGATGATATTACATCACTACAATATGAATTTCCATCAATGATTGGCAAAATGAAAATGATTGGTAGGTTTTAAAAACTGATTATATAAAATTCATTTGAGTTGTTTTTTTCGCTAGTAAATCAACTTCATTGCCCAAAAGGATGGGAACATTTTGGTGGTTCATGTTATTATTTATCTAAAATAAAATCAATATCAACTCAAGCTAATCACACATGTAATATTTTAGATTCAAATCTAATGCAAATACGTAATACAGTTGAATTACTTTATGCATCTTATATTTTAACTAAAAATAATTTATCTGCATTAATGATTCATATCGACCCAAATTTATTGAACGGTAACCAAATATTTTTTTTTCAATTTCGTTTTGTTTTCTAAGAAAAAAAAATCATTTTAGGAATTTTAATAGATGATCAAGATCAATGGCAACGTATGAAAGACAAATTTCGTGAATTATTTATTCGTGATTATAAATTAAAAGAAAAATTTATTGATGAATTGAATGCAGCTGGTTTGCGTATATCAAAACGTTCAAAAAAAATAAAACAAACTGTTACAAATTCAGATACTTATAA